ACCCCCAGCACGGACTGTTCACCTCCCTACCCTCTGGCCGGAGGTTCAGAAGTGTGAAATGCAGGACCACTAGACTGAAAAACTCTTTCTTTCCCTCTGCCATCAGACTCCTAAACAGCTGCAAAGTTTATTACCAGGAAATACGTCATGTACTGACGACCTGTACTGTTTACATTCTCAGTGTGAACATACATAATTGCACAATGACTGCTGCACATGCTGCTCCCATGCAGCATACATTCTCTATTCTTATATATTTTTATTATATCTCTGCATTTGCTGCTTAAAGTGCCTTAGATTTTGTGTTACTTATTTATCTACTTTATACTTCATTTGTATTGTGTGGCATTCATGTGGACGGCAAAGTACAGGGAAATGCATTTCCGTACTGTGCATATGACAATAAATACTTTGACTCCAACTAAACTGCAGTGCTCATGTTCATTGTAATGAAAGAACGTGTCTCCCAGTCAAACTCTGTGGCTTGTTGTGTTTCCAGATGACAGCAGACAACAACAGGCTACAGATAGATAGACTTGTTAGGAAGATCAATAATTATTGGTCTTTTAATGAGATTTTTTTGACAGTGAAATCAACAAATATACAATATCCCCAAATTTATCTTTTGAAGTCAGCGAAACAGACATTAGTGGGTCGTTACTTGATGTTTTTGAGAGAGATGTATGTGATTGGCTTGCAATGTGGCACAGTACAGAGCTGTATGCAGTATAAATGTGTGCCCTCCACCTGTACCTCACTCACCTGTACTGTGAGACCTCAAAAGTATTTTTCAAATACGTAAACAAAGTCTTCTACTGTACTATACTGTGACCTACAAGCTAACTGTCAGGTGGAGAAAAAACAGTGTTTGAGTCTCTAAATATACAGTGTGTCTGCCCCAGTTTAATTTTTATCAGAAATGTTATAACATGAGGAGAGCAAGATATGTCTTTTAGTATATAACATGAGATAAATGAAAATTTAATAGAGGGTTACAGGATTATAACTTCACTGTTTTCTTAACAATGCCACCACATCGTCAGTGTTCACAGGAAGTTGCTTTCTCTACAAGGATGCATAGCCATTTGCTTTGTAACCTACATATGAGCATTTTAAAATGTGTACATGGTCTGGAGGGGCAGTTACTGCGCAGGACCAGGTGGTTGGTGCGACAGGTCAGCGCCCTGTATGCAGTTGTCTCATGATGGAGAGATGAAAGCTTATGTCGACACCTTTATCCCCACACACATTAACGGTCCCTTTGAAGGGTGCACACTCGGTGACCACTCGGCAACTATGGTTTCCAGGGAGAGGAGCAGAGCGAACGCAGCTGGAGAGGGCATTCATTGATTAAACTCGGTCTCTCATTCTCATCCTCTGGCTTTATCTCTGTTTCTCTGCCCTTCAGCATTTCATTTCAGTTCATTAAATCATTCAAAGCTTAGAATACTTCTGTCCAATCTAGTCGATGGATTCAGCACCTGTAAATAGCATTTTTAATACATTTGGTGTGGAAAAAGGTCAAACAGTGTCTGTATAAAACATTAATCTCTGCTTGTATTGCATAAATCGCCTTCTTTCCTCTTAGGCTCAACTTTTTTCATGATGTCCCTGACTTCCGGGTTCTTGCTTGTGGAGGCGATGGAACCGTGGGCTGGATCCTCGATTGTATAGGTACACAGAGTCTGTCATCGCAGTTACAAACATGATGGGATTCTGACTGCAGGGTTCCAGCACTTGTTTTTAAATGATAACTACAGTTTATGACAACTTGGATCTTGTACGTTTATAACCCTGAATATTTTCTCTGTTGCTTAGTCAGCTACCAATTATATTAACTATCTACAGTAAACGAACCAGCTTCCAAGTCGTTTCTGATGTGATAAGGCATAGTTCTTCTGTGGTTATTGCCAGCAAATTTCTGGGTTTTTACTCTTTAAATAAAATGGTTTACACAGTCTAGCTAAAGTTAGAAATTTGTCTAATCTGCTCTTGTTTATTGTTCCATCTGACTATGTTATAGTGATGCCATCTTGTTTCAAATTATAGCTAGTAAGTACAACTTTAGTACAAGTACAGGAGTTTATCCTAAACTGGTAGAAACCATGGCCAAAGCAACTAAAACTACAGAATCTTCCTTGAATTGATTCACTGACCTAAAAGCTGTTGTTTCCAGGACTGTTCAACCAACCACATCTCAGATCTGTTGGCTGTTTGTCCTGCAGATAAAGCCAACTTTGCCAGGGACCCTCCTGTGGCCATCCTCCCTCTGGGTACAGGGAACGACCTGGCACGCTGCTTACGCTGGGGAGGAGGTGAAGTCCTCATTTAGTCATCTGTGTGTGTTTTGTACAATCACAGTAAAAACCATCCAGGCTTAGAAATTTCTGAACATTAATCCTGCCATAACTGATTAGTTTTGCAGCTTGAGGATGATGGAAACAAGCTGTGAGCACACCTATGACATATTATTACCTTTTAAGATGATAATATCCATTATATTCAGAGGTGTCTTTATATTTTTGTCCTCCCCAGCGACATAATGAGAGGGTCAGAAAATTAGGAACACCTCTGAATATAATGTAGTCCTCTACAATACCACCTTTAGCTATGACCTCAGTAATAAACATATAACTGAATTTATACATTTATGGCAATTTCACCGAAAACGGAAACATTGTGAGCTTCATAAACACAGATGTTAAGGTGGAAATGTGGCATTGCAGTACATACAATTGTACAGGTGTACCTAATAAAGTGGTCAGTGAGTGTATGTCATTGTAAATGTGAAGTGTAAATAGTGAAGTCAGTGTAAATAGGAAAAGCTGCAATAAAGAAGGTCTAGCTTAACACCAGCACAGTGGAGTCTGTGTTGAAAAGAGGCTAATGACAGTGTCAACGTGCTGATGTTTAGCAGGCTACCATATTAGCATGCCAACATTTACTAATTGGCAGGTAACACAACGTTTAGGCTGAATATCATTATTTTTGTAGTTAGTGTATTTACAGTAGTTATAAATCAAAGTGATGGACCAAGGGAATTTTGATCTGATTGCGCATTAGACAATACAGCTCACTATGAGGAAAACATGAATGTCTGGTTCATTCGGTCTATCCAGTAAATAAGGTTTTTCATTTAAAACCTCACACGTCAACCTCATGGTAGCGTTAGATGAAAGGTGAGAAGGTCACCAAAGTCAGTGGGACCCAGCGTCTGGGAAACAGACGTTGATGTCTTCTGGGAATCATGGGAGTCTTTTCAAGTAGGTTTATGAGGATTATACCTGAACACGTTTGTTTATATTCATTCATTCATTTATTGCATCCCCCTGCCCGCAGGGGGAAATCATCCTGCAGTGAAACCAGAAAGCTCATGCTGTACACAGTGAAACATTTAAACAGCACAAGATTTGTGTGATTTCAGCAGCTGTCTGTGGAAAGGGCACTTCACTGAGCATCCCAGAGGGAAACAAGTGTAAAAATAAAACACGGGAAGATGCTAGGAAACAGTGGAGTCAGTGTGAATTGATACCTGTGATAAAATGAGAGCCTTCCAGAAAACCCACTGCTAAAAATAACTTCTGTGTAGATTGGCCTGTAGACCATCCACAGAGGAGCTGAACTCGTTAAGTGGCTGTGACAAATGATATGTTGTCATCTGTTGATTTGAGACTGTTGGAAACTGTTCAGGGGCTCTTAGGTGTGTGATACATGTGTGCATGATGCACAGTGTGTGTGTGCGCCTTTGTATTATATATTGAGGACTGAAACCTGTTAACACACTTGCACTGTGGGGACTCGGCCATCTTTGTGGGGACCAGAAGCTAGTCCCCACAAGGAAATCACTGAATTTTAGGGTGGCAACATGGTTTAGGGTTAGGATGAGGTTAGGTGTTAGGCAAGTAGTCATTATGGTTAAGGTTAGGATAAATCTACAGGAAATGACTGTAAGTCAATGTAAAGTCCCCACAAGGAATGAAAACAGTATGTGTGTGTGTGTGTGTGTGTGTTGTGAGGAACTCAGTGGGGAAAAGGGCAGTTGTTTTTACATGAAAAGGAAATTGTTCCCCCTTCAACAGTGATATATCTGCTAAATATGACATGCTCATATTTCTCCCATGATGCTCTCAGTGTGATGGTACTCAGTAATGCCTCACAGCCTTTTGACATCCCTTAAGAATCTGCATCTGTGTGTGATGGTACTCAGTAATGCCTCACATCCCTTAAGTTTCTGCATCTGATTGCTGTTAAGATGCTGAAGTAGGCCATCAGCTGCAGAGGGAAGCCAAAGGGCTCCCCCCCCACAGGCCTGACAGACCCGGGCCGTGTTCTGGGTGGTGGAAGGAGCGGGACAATGTAAAATGGCAGCTTAATCAGTGCCATTGTGTTTAATACTTCATATTATCCACCAGTTACATGCAGGGGTTTAATTATGGAGTGGGTGAAATAATGACTGAATAACTGAACTGTCATCAGGAGCCACTGATTCAAATGTTTTTACTCATGTAAACTCACACTAGAGTTGATTAAATTTTTGAAACCCTCTCTTTAAATAAGAAATCAAAATTTCAACTCATTCCTGAGCTGACTTATTAAAGAGTTTTATAATATGAAAGTAGGATAGTAAAGGATATTATGTCCTGGAGTAACTGTACAGCATAATAGTAAGAACCATTTACAGAACTGGTCTGATTAGCTGTTCACAGAGGAGATGATGTTACTCTCAGTTGTACATGTACATTACTGGCCAAAGGTATGTGGACATGCTTTGACTATGAAGATTACCATCGTTTGTGATTATTAAATGTTTCTTTACTTAGTCGAGTCCACAAAAGTGTAAGCGAGGTCTGGCTTGAAGTCAGCGTTCAGGCCTTTGAAACCAGTCAGGTTCTTCCACACCAACCTTGAAAAAATATTTTATTATGAAACTGACTTTGTGCACAAGAGCTCTGTCCTGTTAAAAAGGCATTCCCTAAACTGTTGCCTGAAATATTATGAGATACTGTGTGATTAAGATTTTCCTTGATTGGAACAAACAGTAAGCAGAACAAACATTTGGGCATATGGTGTACAGTATTCCTCCTCACGCTGTATTTTTACCTGTATGGCTGTTCCCGGCAGGCTACGAAGGTGGTAGCTTGCTGAAGTTCCTTCGGGACATCGAGCACAGCATAGAGGTGGTGCTGGACCGCTGGAACATCGACATTGTCCCCGATGACAAGGAGGAGAAGGGAGACCCTGTCCCCAACAGCATTGTCAACAATTACTTCTCTATTGGAGTGGTAAGAAAACTTACGCACAGTATAATGAGACAGATTATAAATTCTGTCATTTCCTGTATCTTGATGTTACACATACAGAAAAATTGATGTGATGTTGTGGCGACCAACTCTGAGCTTTACTCAGTTTCATGGTCAATAGGACTGCAATTAATGATTCGTTTCATTATCTGCTGATTATTTTCTTATTTAATTATCTAATGAAAATCACAACATTCCTGTTATAGTGTAATTTCCAACAATTTGTGGCTTCACAACTGAGATGCTTGTTCATCATATTTTTTCTTAAAAATGACTCACAAACAATTTAGGAAAGTAGTTGCTTATTACTTTTTTGTTGTTTGACTAATTGACTAACTGCAGCAGCAAATATACAGCACAAACTGAGTGAAAGCATCTGATCCTTTTCATCAGCTGTTCTTGTAGAACAAGAGGAAAAGGTTCATTAGGACATAAAGCTGAGCTGACCGCATGATTTGAATGTGAATAAGAACCGTAACATGCCGTGTGTAAAACAGTTGTGTAACATCCCACATGAAATGCAAAGTATATCAGTAGGTGTACTGGTTATTTGGGAACTAAAGCAGTAGTTTGTAGTTTGGTGTATCAGGCATAAAAATCCTGTCCCTAGATTCTCTGACTGAGACATGGTTGTACAATAACAACATGGTGACAGAGTTGGTCTATGTGTACATACAGTATGCAATTACCAGGTTCATCAGTGAGCTTCTGGTCCCTCGTGTGCACGTTTCTTCTTTTGAGTGGAGGAAATAAACACACTGCCAAGTCCCAGTTGCTTAGCAACCTTTTTGTCTGGTCCTGGTGGAGGTCGCAGAATAAAGCTCAGGGACATTTACACAGAGGTGACAAACAGGACCCCGGTGAAGTGTTGATTTAGTTTCGTCAGACAGTGGACATGTCTTCTCTGTAAAGTCAGCTTCTATGTGCTTTGTGTCAGTGTGAAAGCCAAACCTTCCATCCCTGTGCCATGGTTTGGACACACAAGAAGGGATCTGAGGCTGGTTTACCCATCAGTCTCTGCACCACAATATTTATTTTGATATATTTATAGTAGCTTAGTCTTTGCAGCACACGTATGTTGATAGATCAAAAATAACAGTCGTGCTCATTATATATACAGTAAACAGAAGATGACCTACAGTATGTGCACAGGGTGAGGGTTTTGGCAAGATGAGGGTGAGGCACAGTGAGGTTATACAGCTGCACCCCGACTGATATCTGCCTACTGCATGTATCAGCACAAACACACAACATGCAAGCACCACACAGACGAAGCCAGGTGTTGATATTTGCACATCCAGCTTTGTAGTCAAAGACACAAACTGAACCACCTTCCTTATCCAACTGTCCATCTCCTCCTCAAATAGCGAGGAGGGAGCAGCATGTTCACTGTGGCCCCCCTGGGGAACACAGTGTATTTGACATGCTATGATGATGTAATGTTGCTTATCCTTTTCAGTTTTTCATGTTCAATAGTTTGTGTATTACCATTGCATAATCAGACACAACACAATTTGGAGGTGAAAGAACATTTCCTCTGTGTGTAACTCCACCAGTCTTTACACTGTTGACCCCTGAACTTTATTTTCATTTCATTTTAATTGTAACAGAGGGTTCCTTCGTAGATACGAGGAACTTAACAGATAAAACTGGCCATAGTGTTTTTCTTACTGTTAACAAATCTCAAGGCCAAAAGCAACGATGTATTGATCCCACTAACAAGTATTTTTCTGTGAAGCCAAAGCCTGATATGGCTGATTCCTCTGTGCCATAGAGCTTCACTAAAAACTGTTAACAACTTATCAGTGAGCCACAAAGATCTTTCACTGTATCACCTTCCTGTAAAAACTCACTCACTGCACATTAACTCATGAGTAAAAGTTGTTCACAACAACTTAAAAAATAACTTGTATACACTAGGAATGAGGAGATGAGTGAATCAGTGTGATGTTATGACAGTAAGAAACTTATAGAGTAACACCTTCGCTCAGTGTAAAGCTTCTCTGTGTAAGACTGTGACTGTTTCTCCGGGATTGTGACAACACTCCACCGTGGCACGGCCGTTAGAGCAGCAGATCGCTGTGCCTCCAGGAGCCATCATGACAGATGGCTGAGTATGTGAACGCACATGACACCTGAGCAAACCAACCTCTGACTCACACCAATGATGCAGCCATTAGTAACCCTCAAATCTGGTTTGCTAACCATACAGGGTTTACATTTCCTGCCGTCCCATCACAGACCTTGCTACTTGGGGTTCGGTTGCTATGGAAACCGGAGGCTGGCAAGGCCGAATCTGAAAGCTTCCACAGTCATCTGTCCTTTATCTCACTGACTAAATTGTGGATGACATGGTGTGGAGCATGTGGTTGGCTCGGTCGACTGTAAATCAGAAGGTAGATTATGTGATTTCTGTCTCAGTCTATTTCCATACAGTACTTCAGATGAGATAAGATTTTATTGATCCCTAGGGGCAAAATAAGTGTCTGTTTGAATATTATAAGTCCAAACATGTATATGTTTGGGAAATAACTTCAAACATAAAAAGGTTGTGTGTGTTAGCATTATGGAAGGTGAGGATTTAGTGGGTTCATCCATTGTGCTGTTGGCAGGAGCAAGTGGCTCTCAAGGTGCACTGAGCAGTGGGCTCTATGTGGGGGCTGGCAGTGTAGAGGGAGAGAGAGAGGGGGTGGCAGTAAGAATATGTGTGAAGCCTGTGCCACCTGTTTCAGCTTCACATGGCTCCATGTAATTTTGTTGCATTTTATCAGCTACAAATGTGTATGTCAGTCGTGAAGTAGACTCGGTGGCAGATAATAATGTACCCTACTTATAATACAATATATAAAAGCCTTCATCTTTAAATATGCTGTCAGCTGAACCGATTGAAAACTTTTCATTCACTAATCATGGCAGCAGATTTACTGCCTGTGTACAGGTCGGTGTCAGTTCCTAATGTGCCTTCACTTGACCTGCAGCCTGGAAAGAATCCTGTGAGAGGAATCAGAGAGAAGGAAATCACACCATGTCAGCAGCCATTACAGACGCCACCTCATGTTGCAAGGAGGAAGCTGATCCCTCTGCAGTGCGTGTCTCTGTGCAGGAGTCTCTATGGATGGGTGCACAGGTTAAATGTGCATGCACTTTAATACTCCACTCTGTGTATGTGTGTGTGTGTGTGTGTGTGTGTGTGTGTGTGCGCGCGCTCTGGAAAAAGATTCCAGTTTTAATGGCCAGTTACTTGCATGCACTGCAGAGCCTGACTTTGCTTTCACCTCTTCTGATGGACATATAAGTCGCTAGCTGCTTCGTTCTCCTGACAGGACAACAAACATGAGGGATTCACTACAGACATCACTGGAACGCTCCTGAATCCTAGTGCACTTACTTATTTTTCTAAGTTGATAAAACAAGTTTATTATTCGACAGTCTCACCAAAGGGTCCATTTATCAGTTGCTCTGGACCATTCAGTCGTCTGTCATGATCTGCACAACAAATTAATTCTAACTTTAATTTCTAACAGGTTTTAAAAAAGTCAGTTTGATCTCCTGAATTTGCAAACGTCACACTGAGACATTGTTCCTAGCCTTTATCATGTTCACAAGCTAAAGCTGTTTTTTCTTAAATAAGCTAATTAACTCATTAATTAGCAAAGATTTTTATTCCAACATCAATTTCAAGTGGTAAAAAGTTACATCACTTTCTGGGAAATTTGTGTTCCCTGATTAATTTGCAGATATGTGCAGAAAGCTGCCTCAAAACCTAATCAGATCATCTACTCCATATTGTGCTGCTGTATGTATCATTCTTGAGGTGCCATGTCAACAAGAATGTGTCTGCAGAGTCAGACGACAGTGGGACCACATAATGTCCCACACGCCGTGGTGGCAGGACATAAGATTTATTTTTCTGTCTAAAAGTAGTCTGGAGAATTTTAAGTCGAAATCAACATTCGGATGCAAATACAAGAAGACAGGAGGCAACAGATTGATGTTTTGTTGTTACACAAGATATATAAAGATGACAGCAGCAGCAAAAAGGGTTTAAGTTCTCCATAAGTTGTCCAGGACATGCTTTTCATTGTGTAATTGAAAGAAAACGATCATCCAGGAGCAGCAAGTTGATAGAACATCAGTGCTTGAATCACCTGCTTCAGGTGTTTTCATGCCATTCGTGGCTGGTTGAATAGACCAATAGAGAAAATAAACACAGCTGTGTTAGAAACCATCAGGTCAAACATGTAAATTATGTGCTCATCATTAAATCTTCCCTTAAGGTACAGAGTCAGTAAGATATTTAAAAAAAACAGCTGTTCCTCTCCAGCTGCATGTCTGAGACACTGCAGCCAGAGGAAGATTAATTTTTAAGGCCAAAAAGTTCTATCTTGGTCTCATCAGACCAGAGAATCTTATTTCTCACCATCTTGGAGTCCTTCAGGTGTTTTTTTAGCAAACTCCATGCGGACTTTCATGTGTCTTGCACTGAGGAGAGGCTTCCGTCGGGCCACTCTGCCATAAAGCCCCGACTGGTGGAGGGCTGCAGTGATGGTTGACTTTCTACAACTTTCTCCCATCTCCCGACTGCATCTCTGGAGCTCAGCCACAGTCATCTTTGGGTTCTTCTGTACCTCTCTCACCAAGGCTCTTCTCCCCCGATAGCTCAGTTTGGCCGGACGGCCAGCTCTAGGAAGGGTTCTGGTCGTCCCAAACGTCTTCCATTTAAGGATTATGGAGGCCACTGTGCTCTTAGGAACCTTAAGTGCAGCAGAAAGTTTTTTGTAACCTTGGACAGATCTGTGCCTTGCCACAATTCTGGCTCTGAGCTCTTCAGGCAGTTCCTTTGACCTCATGATTCTCATTTGCTCTGACATGCACTGTGAGCTGTAGGGTCTTATATAAACAGGTGTGTGGCTTTCCTAATCACATCCAATCAAACACAGCTGGACTCAAATGAAGGTGTAGAACCATCTCAGGGATGATCA